CTTCGTCCAGGTCTCCCCAACTGAAGAACGGGTGTGGTATGGGGAAATGGGTCCGCTCACTTTGGAAATGATGTGGCAGCTTGTTTTTGGAGACAGGACAAGAGATAGGGTTGGTCTTGGGGAGGGTAAGTTTTCCTTAGGGCAGTGTGCACTAGGAAACTTCTACCATATTCCCTTTTGCCTGGGGTAAAGGACGATGCTGCTAAGAAGTTGTATCTGTGTGCGTGACCAGAGCCCACTTTCTCACCATGAGCTGGGGAGCCCAGGGTGTCCCCCCGAGGACTCCCAGTTATCACAGTTCTATTAAACTTTGGGCCTGTCTCCCTAAAAGCTCCCTGGCATGGGATGGGTGGCCCTGCTATGCTGAGTAAGACCACCTGCCTGTGGGAGGACAGTGTAGAAGACACACGCCTCATGGGACCCTGGTGTGGGCATTGCTGTAGGGGGTGGATCTAGCCCCCTCTGACTCTGCAGAGGGGTCTGTGTCCAGTCGACATCATGGCCGAGCTCTTCTAGGACTGGAAATTAGGAAGAGACTGAGACAATGTCAAGATTAATGACTGGGGACCGTGCCCTCTTACTGTACTGCAGGACAGCAGTGGACCTAAGGTAGAGCTGACCCCAAACTCAGGGGTGTACATCACACAACTGCAGTCTGCAGAGCTGTCACAGGTATCACCTGAAAAGCCCAGGCTGATGACACAATGGATGCTCCACTACTTCTCCTGGGGGTCTGCGGCCTGTTCTTTCACTACTGGGCAACACATTCTTGCTGACACTACCACCATGAAAAGCTGTTTGCCTGCCCACTGGAGAGGTCAGTGCTGGTCTAAGGTCCTCTAGGAAAGGTCAGTGTGTTGGGGGCCTGGTGCAGGAGAGGAACTGAGAACCCTGTTCACCCCTTACAGGCAAGGAAAGCAGCAGAAGCAACAGGCACTTGAGCCTTTGGACACTGAGGCCAGTGGTCTAACCCCTAGGGGCTGTCCCACTTGCTTTGGACAGTTGCCTCCTTCCACTTTGATAATCTCTTGGGCAGTAGGTTAAACTGTTTGGGGAGCTGGGTGCAGTGGCTCACGCCTGTAATCCCAGCACTTCGGGAGGCTGAGGCAGGCGCGTCACCTGAGGTCAGGAGTTCAAGAGCAGCCTGGCCAACATAGTGAAACCTCGTCTCTACTAAAAATACAAAAAATGAGGCTGGGCATGGTGGCTCACGCCTATAATCCTAGCACTTTGGAGGCCGAGGCGGGCAGATCACTTGAGGTCAGGAGTTTGAAACCAGCCTGGTGAACATGGTGAAACCTTGTCTCTATTTAAAAAAAAAAAAAAAAAAAAAGCTGGGCATGGTGGTGGACACCTCTAATCCCAGCTACTTGGGAGGCTGGGAACAGGAAACTTACATGAACCCGGGAGGCAGAAGTTGCAGTGAGCTGAGATCGCGCCATCACACTCCAGCCTGGGCAACAGAGCAAGACCCTGTCTCAAAACAAACAAACAAAAAACGTTTTGGCCATTGTGATCCTGTAATTTGGGGAAGGGAAGACTGAGAGGTAGGAGGTGTCGGGGTAGAGAGGATGTCACTGGCCAGGGAAGAGGGGATGGATGATGCAGAAGTCAAAAACTGGTAGCTCGAGGGCTGAAACTGGTCCTGCTGTATTTTTAAACAATCGAGCCAACATTGGAAGATCAGATTCCACCCCAAACTCCACATTTCTGGCTTCTCTTACAAAAATCACAAGAGTTGGCATTCTCACACAGCACCAACTGGCCGAAGCAGAGTAGGGGCACCCCCTGTAGTGGGGGGTGGATGTCCCAGTTTTGCAGTCACACACTCCAACATTTGCCCTAAGCAGAGGGTCACTGACATTGACCACAGTACTTGCTTTGTTTTCCTTATGGATGAAAACAGTTTCCCTCCTGGTCTCTGAGGTACTGGGGTTGCAGTGGGCCTGTGTTTAATTAAGGTACATGCAGCAGTCTATTTTGAAGCTGAAGAGGAAGAGGGGGGTTGAATAGCAGTAGGGCTTGAGGTGAAGCCCAGGAAGAAGACAGAATAGCCGTGGGGATTGAGGTGAACCCCAGGAAGAAGACAGAATAGCCGTGGGGATTAAGGTGAAGCCCATGCTGACTAGGAGGGCTCTGAAACACAGGTGGAGGGAGGAAGGCGAGGGGTCCCAGACCACTGCTCAGGAAGGTTCTAGTGATGAAGGAGCCAAGATCAGACCAGGTCTTAGGAGGCAGAGAAGATGCCTTCATTTTTATTCAGAATTGAAATAACCAACAGCTTAACTTCTTTGGCCCAATTTCTGGGTGTGGAAACTTTAAGGGGCAACCTTAAAGGGGTCTCAGGTTTGGGCAGTGGTTCTCAAATGGAGAACCCGAACACCCCATTCTCTGCACTCAGACTAGGACAGCTTGCATCCATTCGCTTAGGGCTCCTACACACCCACCCTGGGCTTGGGGCTAGGTCTGAACCCTTCTCTTGCTCCATCCCGTCTTCCTCAAAATATGTCATGTGTGGCGGGCTGTAACTTCAGCACTGTCATCAGACAAGCATGGGGCCTCAAAAGGGTACTGGAAAGATTATTATTTTCTTTTTTTTTTTTTTTTTTTGAGACAGAGTCTTGCTCTGTCACCCAGGCTGGAGTGCAGTGGCACAATCTGGGCTCACTGCAACCTCTGCCTCCTGGGTTCAAGCAATTCTCCTGCCTGCCTCAGCCTCCCGAGTAGCTGGGACTACAGGCATGCACCACCATGCCCGGCTAATTATTATATTTTTTAGTAGAGACAGAGGTTTGCTATGTTGGCCAGGCTGGTTTTGAACTCCTGACCTCAAGTGATCCACCTGCCTCGGCCTCCCAAAGTGCTGGGATTACAGGCATGAGCCACCGTGCCCGGCCAGAAAGATGATTGTGAAAATGGACTGGGTGGTTTGAAGGAAGGGCAAGGGTGACCCATTTGCTGGTTTGGTTAAAGGAAAAAAAAATGAAGTATATATAATGTCTGAATTTGCCTTTGGGAGGGAAATCCTGCCCAGTCCCCCTTTCTTCCAGGCATGGAATCCTGGTCTCTGGGATAATGAACGCAATGTCAAGTCTTAGCTGGACAGACAGGAGGGGCATGAGGGATAGGCTTTGGTGGACATGACGCTGGGGATGGTAGAGGACAGAGAAGGAACCACACATGAGGGACCCCCACCCTTGAGCTGCACCCAGATTTTCATCAAGGGCCCATCAGGATCAGGTGTCTGTGGGAGCCTCTTGCCCAGAGTGAGCTTAGACCACATCACACCTTCAACAGTTCCCCTGCAACTCTTAAATAATGGATAGGTTAAAGCCTGAGGAGGGTTAATTTGCCCATAAGTCTTTCTGTGCTTTCCTCGTGCCATCACTCAGCTAGGCAGAATACATTCTCTCGCTCTTAGCCATCCCAAGGGAGGCAGAGATGATCAGACATAACTTTTGAACCCCCATCTCACTGGAGAAGGCAAATCCTACACGGGACATGCTCGTCCTGCCCAGCTGGGGGCTGGCATCTTCATTTCCAAATGATGCTGGGAAGTCAGGTCAGTTTCTGTACTGGAAGCATAAAGCACATGGCTTGGAATCAGCTCCCAGGAAAGGATCATTCTTTGTGCCTGAGAGCAAAGCCAAGGGAAACATGTGGTAGAGAGAGGTCACTTTGTTAATATTCCCCTTCTCTCCACCAATCCCCTTATTCAGAACACAGCAAGGCAGTTTTCTAGTCATCCAGTCCACCCATGAGGAATAAATACACCTCATGTCCCCCTGCTGCCAGTGCAGTGATGAGATGCAGGGCTGAGGGGCTGAGGAAGACGCTTCTGTGTCAAGGTAGATTCCGCTGGTGGTCTAGTATTGCCCAAACGGCTTCAGTAGGGATAGGAAAGGCCCCCTGCTTGTTAACAAAGAAGAGGTGAAGGGCAGAGAACCTGGATCTATCTGAGATCCGTGGGCTTTTTACTTTTTCAGCCATTTGAGGGTTGACTGGCTCCAAGGAAAAGCTGTTTGCTGGCAGACACAGGTGGCTGGTGACAAAGGGAACAGAGCAGGGGAATGGATAGCTCAAAACGAGCCTCACCACTCCTGAACAGAACAGCAATCCCAGCTGTGTCCTTCGAGGGTGAGTGAAAGCACATGCTGTCCTCTACATGCTTGAGGCGGACTTGCCTGTCTCTTCAGGCCGGATGCTCCTCAGGGCCCTGTGGGGCTTAAATACATGTACTGAGCTAGCTCCAATCTTAATCTGCACAACATCACAACCCCTGAGTTCCTATTAGCTCTGCAAAACAAAGCAAAACAGATCCCCACCAAAATTTCAGATTTGCAGCATCTGCTAAAACCAAAAGGCACAATCAACTTGTCGTCCTCTCTGGGTTACTGGGCAGGGGATATAGAAGGAACCAGAATCTGTGGCCAGAGTCCTCTCTCGGGTAGAGCTGGGCTCCAGGCCCCTCTAGCTGCCAAGACCTCCCAGGAACCTGCCTGGCCCTTCACTTTGGGAAGGGACCTTGGCCCTTGGGGAAATGCATTTTTGCCAGACTGTAGCCTTCTGGAGGGGACTGAGCCAAGGCCCCATTGGCTCTCCTCTCTAAGCCTCTTGCTAAGGGGCTCTGAGGCCAATGCCTTCCTCCAGGGGTTGGGGAGGTGGGTGGAGGAGTTAACTTGCTGGCTGAGGTCACTGCTGTGACTTGGCTCTTTGTATCTGATTTGTGTACAGGCAAAACTGGCTTACAGAAGAAAAAAGCAGGAACACCTGCACTGGGCGCTGGCCCTTGGAGGTGCTCTGGGGGCTTGTGCCAGTGTCGTGAGGTACATGTGGCTGCGGCCCCTTTTGGGCATGTGGCCTGGGTTTGCTGAGGGTCAGGAGGGTAAGGTCCTACCTTGATCCCAGTGTGGATCGCTCTGAGAGACCACAGCTCCCTCCTCTGGAGTCTCCTCTCCGAGCTCTCCAAGGGAAAAGACAAAGGAAGCCGAACTGCCAAGTTGAAGATTTTGCCTCAGGCAACTAAATTTATTAGCAAGAAAAAATTTTTGTCAGCCCAGCGCTGACCAACAAAGTACGTTAATAAAGGATAACAAATCTGTCACTTAATTCATAAAACATACCTCAAGCAGTTACAACTAAAAATAAAGTTGGATTTTTGTTTAATTTAAAAGCCTCAAAAATAACAAGCAATATGTTTTTAAACATGTAGTAGACACAATTGTCTATTATACAATATACACTGTACACAAGTAGAGCTTGGGCCGGGCAGGGGTGAGGTGAAGGGAGAGGGAAGAGGTGCAGGATGGGCAGGTGCTGTTATCTGAATCCAGATTTGAGTTTAAATGCTGTGTCATTTAGAAAAGGGAATTGCTAGAGTGAGAAAAAAATTCATATGCTCATCATTGCCCCCAACCCTCAACTGAAAGCAGGCATTGGGGAGGTGAATAACAAGGAAAGGAAGAAGGGAGCAATTAAATAAAACTTCTTTAAAGCACACACAGTACACAGTGTTCATCATCTGATGTAGAGAGTATAAGGCAACGTTCTCCATAGAAAAAGAGGGGGATCAGGAGGAGTCGGTGGGTGTCTTTACTTTTTAAACAGAGCTGGAATGTGCTGGAGGAGAGGTTGTGGCGGGGCTGGGCACATGGAGTGGAGGTGGCCCCGAGTCTCTCCAGAGGTGGGTGCCAAGCCCCAGGGCGTCCACAGTGGCCGGCAGGGCCAGGGAGGTGCAGGAGAGTGGGCATGGCACGATGCGACTCCGGCAGTGTTGGGAGCAGGGATTGGGGTGGGGGATGGGGGCTCACTTTGCTCCTCGACGGAGTGAAATGCATGTTTTTCCTTTGGAAATAAGGGTTCCCACGCGTCCTGGTTTAGAACGTCTCATTGGGCATGGCCAGTGTCCACAGTCTGGGCAGGCCGGGAGCTCGTGGTGAGGGGAAGGGCCAAGGCGGAGCCAAGGGGGTTCAGAAGGAGGACAGGGAGCAGAGCCCCTTCCTGTGGGGACAGTTGCAGAACAGGAGTGGGGCTGAGGGCAGGCCCAAGGCAGCCACAGGGCTCCTTTCCACCAGGGGCCCAGGGAGGACACAGGCGGGGGATTGCATCTTCAGGGCCTCCCGCCGCAGTTGGCCTTACAAGTTCTTCGTGACCAGGTGGGTCTTGTAATGCTTGGTGAGGTGGTCACTCCTCATGAAGCGCTTCTGACACTGGGCGCACTCGAAGCGTTTGTCCCCTGGGAAGAGGAGATGCCCATCACCCACATACCCTGGGCACAGACCCTGTCTCTGCCCAAAAAGGTGGGGTGTGTGTGAGGGGCACCCAAACAAGCTGACGTAGCCTTGTCACCACATTCTGCCCACCTCCTGCTCTCACATTTGCTCCCTGGTGCCTACTCATCTAAATCTTTTTTTTTTTTTTTTTTTTGAGATGGAGTCTCACTCTATTGGCCAGGCTGGCGTGCAGTGGTACAATCTCCGTTCACTGCACCCTCCACCTCCCAGGTCAAGCAATTCTCCTGCCTCAGCCTCTCAAGTAGTTGGGACTACAGATGCCCGCCACTGCGCCCAGCTAATTTTTGTATTTTTGTAGAGATAGGGTTTCACCATGTTGGCCAGGCTGGTCCTGAACTCCTAATCTCAAGTGATCCGCCCACCTTGGCCTCCCAAAGTGCTGGGATTATAGGCATGAGCCACCACGCTTGGCCCCCTACTCATCTAAATCTTTTTATCAATTCTCATTTCTCTCTGCCCCCATTTGACCTCTGCAGTCTACTTTGTTCCCATTCCTTGTCCCTGGAGCCCCTGCACCTAAGAGTCTTCCGTGCAGGGTTGTCCACCTGCTTTCTTCTTTTGTCTGACTTTGAACCTGGATCAGCATCCTCCCCATCGCAGGAAAATCCCGCTCCACCCTGACCCTGCCAGCCCTGAGCACTCACTTAGTTGGAACCATGTTGACCCCAACTGCTTTCCTGTGGAGTGCTGGCTCCTCTGCCTTTTGGGGAGTAGGACCTGTCTCACCACACTGGCCAGGAGCTGGAGCTCTGGGTCAAGCTTCCCTCAGCCCTCTAGCCCCAGGACAGGTGTCTGCTCACTGCAGGCATTCACTATAGCAGTGTTTGCCAAAGTGTATGTGTGGACCACTGTGGATACCCAGGACAATTTCAGGTGGCAGATGTATGAACTTTTTTTTTTTAAGAGATGGGCTCTCGCTATATTGCCCTGGCTGATCAAACTCCCGGGCTCAAGTGATCACCTGCCTCAGCCTCCCAAAGTGCTGGGATTACAGGTGTGAGCCACTGTGCCCAGCCTGGATCAATATTTTTAATAGTTTTGCATTGATTTGCTAGTACCTAAAACTGTAACTGTGATATCTCACTTTGGGAGGTAGAAGAGGGAGGATCAGCTGAGCCCAGAAGTTTGAGACCAGCCTGGGCAACACAGTAAGACCCTGTCTCTACAAAAATTTTAAAATTAGCCAGGTGTGGTGGTGCACGCCTGTAGTCCTAGCTACTCAGGAGGTTGAGGTGGGAGAATTGCTTGAGCCCAGGAGTTCAAGACTGCAGTGAGCTAAGATTGTGCCACTGCACTCCAACCTAGGTGACAGAGTGAGACCCTGTCTCAAAAAAAAAAAAAAAGAAAGAAAAAAAGCTGTGGCATGGCCTGGGTTTGAACCTGGCTGCACCAGTCACTAGCTGTGTGACTGGGCCACTTCTCCATGCCTCAGTAAAATAGGCATCAACAGGCCGACGCAATGGCTCATGTGTGTATTCCTAGCACTTTGGGAGGCCGAGGTGGATCACCTGAGGTCAGGGGTTCGAGACCAGCCTGGACAACATCGTGAAACCCCGTCTCTACTGAAAATACAAAAATTAGCTGGGCATGGTGGTGGGTGCCTGTAGTCCCAGCTACTTGAGAAGCTGAGGCAGGAGAATTGCTTGAACCTGGGGGGCGGAGGCTGCAGTGAGCCAAGATCATATCACTTCACTCCAGCCTAGGCAAAAGAATGAAACGCCATCTCAAAAAAAAAAAAAAAGGCATAAACATAAACAAAGTATCCTCCCATAAAGTCCTTACCAGGATCAACTGAGGTAATCAGTAAAGTGCTTAGTACTGTGCCTGGCACACCATGTCAGTGTTTGTTAAATAACTATGCTGACATGGCAAAAGTCATCAGGTTGTGTCATGCAACGACAACTATTCCTTTCCCATTACTTGGAGAAACAACAGTGATAACGGAATGGCTTCAAAATAATTTCCTATGTCGTCCCTGGACAGTCTGTAGCTCTTGCTCAGTGTGGCAGTTCCAGGAGTGTCAACGTTGCTAAAGCCGGTAGAGTGGGGGTGGAGGGACAGGCAGGAAGTTGACCTGTGTGGTTGGAGGGTCCCGAAGGCAGGGGGCTGACCTGTGTGGGTGCGAGCATGCCGCTGGAGCTCGTCACTCCGTGTGAACCTCTTCCCACAGAAGAACCAGTTGCAGACAAAGGGCCGCTCGCCAGTGTGCAGGCGCACGTGGGCACGCAGCAAGGACGTCTTACGGAACGTCTTGCCACAGTCGGGGATGTGGCACACGTGCTTCTTCTTGCCCTGCTCTCCAGACCTGAGAATTGGGGTGAGGGTAGAGTGGACGGAATAGGAAGAGGAGAGAAAAAAGGTAGAGGATGGGGCAGGAACAGGATGCAGTGAGGATGTGGGATCAGGTCAGAGAGCACAAGGAGGCAAGGGGCAAGGTGGCACAGAGCTGCCAGCTCCTCCCTGCCTGATCTGTGCCAGTTGCAGCTCTGGACAACTGTTCAGGAGGAGCTTGGGGAACACAGGCCAGCCTTGTGGCTTGGCCCCTCTCCTTGAATTACCTCTTCTCCCCATCCTTGCAGTTGGGACATGTGCAGGCCATGCGGCGCCGCTTCTCCCCAGGCTGGGTCTCTCCAGCCAGGGCTTGTTCCATTTGCAGCTGGATCTGGGTGGGGCTCAGCCCACTGATGGTCAGGTTGTTCCCAGAAACATTCTGCACTGTCAGCTGCTGCTGCCCTGTGGGGACAAAGAGGGCAGAGTTCAGGGCGAGGAAGCCTGAAACCTCGAGTCAACCCTTCTGCCCTTCTGTGCATGACAAAGATGATAATCGTAGCAGCTATTTTTGAGAGCCTGCTATACAGTGGATACCGTTTTAGGGACCTTGTATGTATTCACTCATTTAATCTTCATGACCCTATAAAATAGGTACTATCAGCACTTTACAGATGAAGAAACTGAGGCTCAATAACATAGCAAGATCACACAGCTAGTAAGTGGTAGAACGCAGATCTGAACCCAGGAAGCCCATTTCAAAGTCGGTGCCCTGAACCACTGTACTATGTAGGCAGAATTTGCTTCAAAATATTGCCCACATGATTTCAGTTGGGAAGGGACTTGTCTTAAGACATTTCTTCCTGAATCTCCTCCAACTTTAGGCCCTTGTGAGATACCAACTCTGCTTTTAGGAAAGTCTCCAGGAATTTCTGTTAAAAAGAGAGAGGTCACAGGCTAGGTACAGTGGCTCATACCTGTAATCCCAGCACTCTGGCAGGCAGGACAATTGCTTGGGCCCAGGAGTTCAAGACCAGCCTGGGCAACATAGGGAGACCCTCATCTGTACAAAAAACTAAACAATTGGCTGGGCATGGTGCTACATGCCTGTATTCCCAGCTACTCAGGAAGCAGAAGTAGGAGGACTGCTTGAGCCCAGGAAGCTGAGGCTGCACTGAGCCATGATCTTGCCACTGCACTTCAGCAAGGATGATAGAGCGAGGCCTTGAGGCCATGTCTTTAAAACACACACACACACACACACACACACACACACAAAAGAGGACACAGTTCTATGGGCTTTGGGAAAAATCAGATGCTCTAGGATGCCTTATCCTCTTGGAGGTAACCTCAAGAGGGAAAAGCAAATGTGTTAAAGTGCTAAAAATTCATTAAGGATGGGCTGGGTATGGTGGCTCGCGCCTGTAATCCCAGCACTTTGGGTGGCTGAGGTGGATGGATCACAAGGTCAGGAGTTCAAGACTAGCCTGGCCAAGACGGTGAAACCCCGTCTCTACTAAGAATACAAAAATTAGTGGGGCATGGTGGTGGGCGCCTATAATCCCAGCTACTCGGGAAGCTGAGGCAGAGATCGCGCCACTGCACTCCAGCCTGGGCAACAGAGCGAGACTCCATCTCAAAAAAAAAAAAAAAAAAAAAAAAAAAAATCATTAAGGATGAAGAGAAATTCAGAGAGCTCCCCCTACATAAGGAGCCATTTTTGCTAGGTTGCTCCAATTTTTCCTCTGGTTATTTGCAAGGCTGGTTTCACAGCATAAATCTCACCACCGAACTGAAGAGCAGCACAAACTGTTCTGACTGCCAGGGGCTCCCTTTTCTTCCAACCTTAACTCAAAGCTTTCTCCTCCAAGAATCCGTTTTTGCGTTTGGATGTTAGTTGGAAAGTTTTCCGAGTACATCTGTCTTCTCTGTTTTCAACTGTCAGATGGGGACATATGCCTTAAACTATCTCTGAGTGCTATCGTAAGGACTAGGTGAGAAGCTGCAGGTGGACGTACCCTTAAGCTATGATGGACAGCATCCTCACTATTGTTACTGGAAATCCCGGGGCCAGCCCATAGTTTCCACCTGCTAGGAGCAGGTACCACTGCCAACACCCTGGCCACAGGGGCCATCCTCACCGCCTGTGTTGGTGATAGTGACAGGCACGCCCTGGACCTGGACACCATTGATGTTGATGGTCTGCATTGCCTGGGCAGCTGCCGCCAACTGGGCTGCATTCAGGCTGATGATGCTCCCGGCGGGGGCAATCTTTGGCAGGGGACGCTCTTTTCGGAGAATTGCAGCTGAGTGCTTTTTGCTGGTCCCACTCAGATGGGGAGCACGGGATGCAGGGCTGCTACAGGTGGTGTTAGAGGTGGCTGCAGCTGTTGCTGGGGGGCTGTCCTGGACAAGGACTGTCTGCACCTCACCGGAAGGCGTGCGGATGTAGACCTGGGAGGGGCCAGAGGAAAAAAAGTCAGTGACCGGAAAAGACTGGGTTCCTGGGGCTTTCAAATGTCCCTGCCCAAGTGAGAACTGGGGGCGCCTGACAGCTAAAAGTCTCTTCAGTTCACCTGTGTACATTTATACACAGCTAATGCTCAACAAAGGGCTGCTGGCATCCTATACTATGCTGGCGAATGTTGACTATTGATTTGAAATCAAACGTTGAATTTACTTAGCATGGAAAAAGATAATTGCCAAGAATCAGAATTGGAGATTTAGAAGGCAGTGCACTGTGAATGACCATCAACCAAATGACACAGGCTCACTTTAGTTTTTAAGAGCCACATATTACAGCCCACGAGTTCCAGGTAATAGTGAGCTATGATCCCTCTACTGCACTTAGCTTGGGTGACAGAGCAAGACGCTGTCTCAAAAAAAAAAAGTTTCTGGTCTTTGTAATCAGAAGAAGAAGAAGAAGAAAAAAGAGCTATGTATTAATGAAAAACAACCTTTCTCCAATTCAGATTGGAGAAAAATAAAATATGCTCATTGTTGGTGAGAGAGCAGAAAACAGGCACTTACTCGTATATTAGGCGTGGAAGTATGATGTGGGCTAACCTTGCTGGAAGGAAATTTGGGAATATGTATCAAAAACCTTAAAAATATGCATGTTAGAGGCTGAGTGGGACAAGGAGGGCATTTGTAGCGGGGAGGAGGGTGTCCGTGGTGGGTAGGGAATGGCGGTGGCAGGCTGAGGAGGGTGTCCCTATGGGAAAGCTAATGACTGTGGGAGACTGGCTGCATACCTAGGACTTATCCAGAAAGGAAGTATGTTAAGGATAATAGGAGTGAGGGCTCTCACTGTCACAGAAGGGAGTTATGGAAAGGGAGAAGGCTAGACGGAAGGCTGTGGTGCTAGATGGGAATTAGAGACATTGGTGGAAACTCATGGGTTTCAATATATACAGACAAAGAAATACAGATTCAAATGTGTGTATATGTGTATGTGTATATATTTGTGTGTGTCCTTATATAAGTTTATCTACATCTATCCATGTAGGCATTGCTTCGGTACGTCTGTTTATATATACTTCCTAGCTGTGTCCGTTGAGAAGGGCTAGGACCAGCCATGCCCAGTAGCAATGAGCTTACCTAGCACCCAGGCCTTAGCTTGTAACTCACATGCTCCACTAAAAGGAACCCAGGCTCCTTGGAGAAATAGCTGATTCCAGGGTTGGGGCAGGGAAGGTACAAGAAAAGCTTGGAACACTTGTACTAGAAAGTAAAGGAATGCTTACAGAATGGTGGGGACTTGAAAAGATACAAGCCAGCTTAAAGGGGAACCCACTGGCCAAATCTAGGTCAATGAAAACATCGAAATAATCTTTACGGATTATAACCCAGTGAATAAAACAGGAATCTGGCCAGGTGCAGTAGCTCATGCCTATAATCCCAGCACTGTGGGAGGCAGAGGCAGGCAGATCACTTGAGGTCAGTGGTTTGATACCAGCCTGGTCAACTTGGTGAAACCCTGTCTCTACTGAAAATGCAAAAAAAAAAAAAAATTAGCTGGGAGTGATGGCGCACGCCTGTAATCCCAGCTACTGGGGAGGCTGAGGCAAGAGAAGTGCTTGAACCCGGGAGGTGGAGGTTGCAGTGAGTTGAGATTGTGCCACTGCACTCCAGCCTGGATGACAGAGTGAGACTCCATCTCAAAACACAAAAAAAGCAGCAATCTGTGAGTCCATAATGACGTAAATAAATAAATGAGGAGGAAGAGGATGACAGAATTAAAAAGAGGCTATCACATCCTTCAATGAGAGAAACCAGGAATCTGAGAAGAAATGGTTGACCCTAAGGCTGAGGTTGGGAAAATGTAAGGAATGAAGTTCAGAGACATGCTACAACAGGATGAACCTTGAAACATTATGCTAAGTGAAAGAAGCCAGTCACCAGACACATGCTACAACATGGATGAACCTTGAAAACATTACAAATAGACTAGTAGTTGCCAGGGGCTGCAGGGAGGAGGAAATAAATGGGGAGTGATGGCTAAAGGGAGTTTCTTTTTGGGGTGATGAAAATGTTCTAAAATTATATAAAGGTAATGGCTGCACAACTCTGTGAATATACTAAAAATCACTGAATTGTATACTTTAAAAGGGTGAATTTCATAGTATGTGAATGTCTCAATAAAGCTGATTTTATTTTAAAAAAAAAAAAAAAAGAATGAGAGCCTGTTAAAGGGATATAAGAGCCGACCTGAAGGCCGGGTGTGGTGGCTCGCGCCTGTAATCCCAGCACTCTGGGAGGCCAAGGCGGATGGATCACAAGGTCAGGAGTTCAAGACCAGCCTGGCCAAGATGGTAAAATCACGTCTCTACTAAAAAAATACAAAAATTGGCCAGGTGTGGTGGCTCACGCCTGTAATCCCAGCACTTTGTGAGGCTGAGGTGGGCGGATCACGAAGTCACCATCGTGGCTAACATGGTGAAACCGTGTCTCTACTAAAAATACAAAAAATCAGCTGGGCGTGGTGGCACTCGCCTGTAGTCTCAGCTACTCGAGAGGCTGAAGCAGGAGAATTGCTTGAACCCAGGAGGCAGAAGTTTCAGTGAGCTGAGATGGCGCCACTGCACTCCAGCCTGGATGACAGAGCGAGACTCAAAAAAATAAAATAAAATAAAATAAAATAAAATAAAATAAATAAAAAGAATGAGGAAGTGTTTCAGATCAAAAGAGGCTAAGGAGACAACTAAACGTAATGTGTAATACTGGATCAGATCCTTTTGCCACAAAGGAATTAGTGGGGCAAGTGGTGAAAACAGAGTGGGGTCTTGGAATTAGTAGTGTGTTTCATTGCTAATTTTCTGGGTTTGACAATTGTATTGTGGTAATGTAGAATGTCCTTGTGTGTAGGAATTAAAGCATTCAGAAGTGACAATCATGGTGGCATGGAGGATCATGGTGGCAATTTACACTCAAATGAGTCAAAAGGAAAAAAGTTCTTTGTAAAAAAAAATCCTGCTGTGATTTTGATTGGGGTTATTTTTAATTCCTGGATTATTTACAACTGTGCTTCTTCTCACTTAAACACTAATAAACATCTCATCTCTTAAATTTTTTTTATAGAGACAGGGTCTCTGTCACCCAGGCTAAAATGCAGTGGAATGATCATAGTTCACTGCAGCCTCAAACCCATGGGTTCAAGTGATCCTCCCACCTCAGCCTCCCGAATAGCTGGGATTACAGATGTGCACCACCACGCCTCACTAATTTTTTAATTTTTTGTAGAGATGGGGTCTTGCTATCTTTCCCAGGCTGGTCTTGAATTTCTGGGTTCAAGCGATCTCTAGCCTCAGCCTCCCAAAGTGCTAGGATTACAGGCATAAACTACCTCACTTGGCCCATTTCTTAGTAAATATGCAAATCTCATTCCCAGTTTTCTGATATGTGCCCCTTTTTCAAATCACTGATATTTTTTGTCTGATTTTGTGTGTATATGTGCGTATGCATGCATGCATGCATGTGTGTGTGTATTTGCATCTGAAGGTTCAGCAAGCTTTTTTTATAAAGAGCCGGAGAGTAAATATTTTAGGCCTTGTGGGGCATATTGTCTCGGCTACTTAACTCTGCTACTACTATTGTGCAAGGGCAACACAAATGGACATATCTGCACTCCAGTTAAACTTTATTTACAAAAACAGGTGGCTGGGCTAGATTTGGCTTGAAAGTTGGTCACAGACTGCAAACCTCTAATATAAAATACAAATTTTTAAAAAATATATATGTCCTTGACCCACTTTTAGGGATTTATTTAGCTATAAGATTGGAAACAGCTTAGATATATACAGTTAACAAGGTATCAGTTGTATAATCATCCGCATGTTGGGATGATATAAAGCTGTGTAGTCATGAAAAAATAATGCTGTGGCTAAATCTTTCTGCATATGCATCATTATTTCCTTAGGGAAGACCTGGGATTAAGTCCTGTCCCATCAACCTCAAGATATGGAACCTCATGGAAGGGAGGGAGGCAATGCCGAGGATGTGCTCCTGAGCAGGTGCCACAATTCTTCACCTGTCAGGTAGGTCTGATCATGGGAATTCACAGATACTGTGATAAACGACTTATAAAAAAATCACCTGGCAACATAAAATATGCCAGAAGGGTGAATTCCTGTGTGACTTCTGTGTCCACAGTTCAAATTCAAGGGCTGTCTTCTCCACCTGGGAAATGATACAACTTCCCACTCTCAGTCATTCGGTTCTCCCTCTATAGACAACGAGGTCATAAATTCCTCAATGGCAGGAACTTTTTTTATATTAAAAAATAAAACTCCCCAATTTTAATGGTAGCACCTGCTACACATAAGACACGAGAGTCAAGGTGGAAGATGGAAGAGTGTGGGGTCTGAAGTTACAAATCTCAGCTGACTCCTGGTTCCTGTCATTTGTGCCCTATTTGATCCTGGAAACTTCATAAATGATCTGAGTTCTGGGTTCTCCATCTGCAACATGGGCACAATTACTGGCACTTAGTAGGCATGCACAAAGAATAAAACTTGCCTCACAGAGCCAAAGAGATTCCAGAGTATTAGAGCACATTAATAAATGCCAAAAATAAGAACATTCTTGTTGGATTCAGCATCCCAGTTTGGCAGGAAGCAGTGGCTCAGCCTGGCATGGTGGCATACACCTGTAGTCCTGGCTACTCAGGCTGAGGTAGGAGGATTGCTTGAGCCCAGGAGATTGAGACTGTAATGATCACATCACTGCACTCCAGCCAGGACAACCGAGTAAGACCCTATCTCAAAAAAAAAACCACCCTAAAACAAACATTCCAGATGAATCTAGCCGAAATATTGCTGCTATAAAGCTAGGCTGCTCTTCCTGTTTTTATCTTGTCATTAATAATGATCAGCATTTTTCTCATTAATTTTCTTACTTTACATAAAATTCTATGGACTGGAATGTTTTCATTCTTGTTAATGTTTTGAGTATGTAATTCTATAATCAAAAATAAGTGTTATTAAAAAGTATATATCTGTCCCCTTTCCATCCCCTGAAAAAAAACCCATAAAGAAAAAGGGCCAAAATATCCCTATGTTTCATCTAATTTCTAAAGATAAGCAGTACTTGCCCCTATGAACTAAAGAGAGCCCATTGGTCAGGTAGAAACGGCCACTTACTGCCCACCCCAAAAGATACTGACTCTCAAAGGTCAGATTAAGCTGGGAGATGATCAGCATCATCTTCAGAGCAAGCCAAAAAGACGTAACCAGAGGAGGAGGAGGACAGTACAGGGAGTGTGGTACCTGAGTAGGTGTCGGCTCAGCTGCCTGGATCTGAAAGTTCTGGGAGGGCTTCTGGGGGACAGTGGGGAGGGTGGCAGATGCCGCCTGCACCACCCGCAGAGCCTGCTGGGGGATCTGCACCACCTGCTGCTGCTCGGCCTTGGGGGGCACCACCTGGACCTGCTGGACCACAGCTGGCTGGCCCCCCCCAGGGCTCTGAACAATGAGCAGGTTATTTCCTGCTTGGATGATGTTGTCCGCGGTGGTCTCGATCAGCACCGTCTCCACCTGCTCAGCCACAGCCACAGGGGGCTGGGAGGCAGGAAGGCTCTTCTTCCTTGCTTTCTTGTTAGTCTTAGACAGTGGGGTTGGGGGGCTTTCAGTGAGGAGCTGAGTGGGGGCCCCGGTGTCACTGGCGTTCACGAGGTTGTTGACAGGCAGAGTGAGTGTCACATTGCCGCCCCCACCTGTCAACTTCACCACATTGGCCCCACTCTGCACGGGGGTGGTGGTCGTACTTGACTTCTGGATGGGGGCTGGCTTGATGGGGACAGGCTTGTGACTGGACGGTGAGGGGGTGATGATGGCTTGGTTGGTGCCAGGGATGATCTGGATCTGGTTGGTGAGATTGGGCTGTACTTGGATGGTTTGGGAACTGCTTGCCTGAATCTGAGGGACTGCCTGGTACTGGATATTGGCATTTGATCGGGTCCCTTTGTTGATCATGGTGGGATTCTGGATAGCAAACACCAGCTGCCCTCCAGGATAGGAGGCGCTCAGTTGTGACCCCTGAATCTGAAGTATATTTCCTTTGGAGGACAAGATTCCAAAGCTATTCTTGCCGGGGCTGAGAGGGAGAGGGGCAGGTTTGATAGGGACAAGTTTCCGCGGTGTGGGCTGTGGGGGAGCAGGAGGTGTCACAGCAGCTTCAACTGCTGGAGGGCCAATTTTGCTACATGTTGCAGCAAGCAGGGCTAAGGGAGATGGCTGGGAGTCCTGCAAAAAAACAGCAGAGAAAAGGAATGAGACAGGAAGGCCCGCTGCCCAGCCGCCTCTGTCCATGATCCTCTCTTCTTGGCGGTATTCCACGCCACTCTTCCCCACCTCCGTGGCAGGCATGTTGCCAGCACCCTCCCCTGCTTGGCTGCTGTCTCCCCTTCTCTACTGGTTTCTCCATTAAGTGAGGGAGAAAAGGTGGACAGTGTCTTTCTCAGGAAGGAATCCCTGGCCGCACCCCACAGACAGGGTAAACTAACAATGTGAGCTGACTTCCTACTCCCCACTGGCCTTGTTTCTAAGGACAGTGAAGCATGTTTGGCTCTTAGATGGAGTTTTGTTAGCCCACCCCAGGGACTGAGGGGTCCCTGATTGCTCAACTGAGGAAAGGAGGGAGGAAAAAAGAAATGGAGGGGCAACAGGAGGAATAAATACTTCAGTAAAGGGCTTTTTAGTACTCAGAACATGTAACTTTATAGATTGGGCTACACTTTCGAGACAATGAGAGAGCCTGTTTTCCTTTTCCTTTTTTAGTGAGGTCTGGTGGAAGGAACACAGAGTTTAATCCTTGTTTTTCCGGCAGCCCAACTGTGGCACCTTAGGTAAATGGCCATGGTTTCTCAGTAAAGAAAATGTGGCTAACTGAACCTTCCCCAGTCTCATAACCTAGGGTATTTATAGTGAGACAGTGAAGAGAAAGTGTTTTTGGTAAGTCTGTCCAGGATGCTGCAGCCCCAAGCCCTCGGAGCCCAGTGCCTACTCGCCTGTGTGGTGGAGGCAGCAGGCTGCAGGTAGTCACTTGGACTGACAGCAGCAGTGGCAGCCATGCTGGTCTGTGGATCTGTTGGAAGAAAAGAGATGCAGTAATGTATAAGATGCCCAAAAATAACGCAAGCCCACTTGCCTCAGATTTTCTTTCTTTTCTTTGAGACGGGAGTTTTTGCTCTTGTTGCCCAGGCTGGAGTGCAGTGGTGTGATCTCGGCTTATGGCAACCTCCCCCTTCTAGATTCAAGCAATTCTCCTGCTTCAGCCTTCTGAGTAGCTGGGATTACAGGCGCCACCACCATGCCCAGCTAATTTTTGTATTTTCAGTAGAGACGGGGTTTCACAATGTTGTCCAGGCTGGTCTCGAACTCCTGACTTCAGGTGATTCACCTGCCTCGGCCTCCCAAAGTGCTGGGATTACAGGCATGAGCCAGCACGCCTAGCCATATTTTCTTTTTGCCTCTATTTGTTGCTGCTTCTCCAAGGGAAGTTAAAGACTTTTCCCCAGACTTCCCCACCCTGGGTTGACAGTCTTACATCTATTTCAGTAGATTACTTTCTCCTCTCCTCAGACTCAGCCATCTGAGGCTGTGAGGACAGCTGGTCCTACTGTCGTTGGACTGTCCCCTCCAGCCACCACAGAGTCTGAGATAACACAAAAATAACCAAGACTATACCAGGACTCTCTTCTGTAACTCAGCTATGCCCTCTCTGATGGGCACTGCTGGCTCTCCATAGCTAAACTGGAACTCCTCTATGGTGGGCAAGGGGAGCTCCCCAGCTAATCCTCTAGCTCAAACTCAAGCCTCCTGTTCACTCCTGCTGTAGACAGATGCCAAAACTGAGAGGGAAGTATCGCTCAGACAGTTTTTCGGACAAGGAGGACACACCTGCTCCATTCCCAAATCTTGGGTGTTTTATGCTCAGCCTTCACCACAAAGGCTGTTGTCCCCAGGCAGCATATACAGCACATGGGTCAATTCTTTTTTTTTTTTTTTTTTTTTTTTGAGAAGGAGTTTCACTCTTGTTGCCCAGGCTGGAGTGCAATGGTGCAATCTTGGCTCACAGTAACCTCCACGTCCCAGGTTCAAGCGATTCTCCTGTCTCAGTCTCCTGAGTAGTTGGGATTACAGGCATATGCCACCATGCCTGGCCACTTTTTGTATTTTTAAGAGAGACAGGGTTTCACCATGTTGGTCAGGCTGTTCTCAAACTCCTGACCTCAGGCGATCCACCTGCCTCGGCCTCCCAAAGTGCTGGGATTACAGGTGTGAACCACTGCGCCCGGCCTCATGGGTCAATTATTTACGTGAATTTACACTTTTTACATAGTACAATAGGCATGGCCCCACAGGCATCAACCAAGACTCGGTAGAGCTAATGACTAACTGGCTATAACAAGGAGAATGAAAACAGAGTAAATTCTATTTTTGTTTAAATGTGTATATATTTCTATACATGAATATAACCAAATAGGAAAAAGTCTTAAGCCATTATCTCCTAGTGGTTGAGTTTTGTTTGACTTAAATTTATTTTGCACCTTGTTTTTCTGTACTTTTTCATTTTCCCATGATAAATATATTCTACTGTACTTTTTTTCTTAAATAAAGAAAAATATGGTTGAGGAAGTAATGAAGGGACTCTCTAATGTGCACTTAAGTCATCTAAAAGAGGCCAGGTACAGTAGCTCATGCATGTAATCCCAGCACTTTGGGAAGCCAAGGTGGGAGGATCGCTTGAGCCCAGGAGTTCAAGACCAGCCTAAGCAACACAGTTAGACCCTGTCCCTAATAAAAATTTTTTAAAAAGAAAGAAAAACAAGATCAGGAAAATGAAAGTCATGAGAATTTTAGAAGAAAGAATCTATGCCATCTTCAAGTTCATAAATCACTAAGGAAAAGAATACTAGGCAGAATCAGATTTCGATCCTGGACCTTTGGAAAGCAGATTTCACTAAGTACAGAAATAAGAGGGGTATTACTTTGAAGACTCAAAGAGACAAAAAGGCTCAGGGTGCATTCTGCTTGGAAGGCTGAGACGGAAGGATCACTCAAGGCCAGGAATTTGAGGCTGCAGTGCCCTATTATCACACCTGTGAATAGACAAAACACTCCTGCCTGGGCAACACAGCAAGACCCCATCTCTTAATAAAACAAACAAAAAGGCTCAGGGGTTGAGTCCTTGTAAGGAATTTGGCAAAAAGAGGACAGATATTGGGCTGGGTGTGGTGGTTCATGCCTGTAATCCTAGCACTTTGGGAGGCTGAGGCAGGCAGACTGAGCTCAGGAGTTAGAGACTAGCCAGGGCAGCATGGTGAAACCCCATCTCTACTAAACATACAAAAAATTAGCCGGGCGTGGTGGCAGGTACCTGTAATCCCAGCTAAACGGGAGGATGAGGCAGAATCATTTGAACCCAGGAGATGGAGGTTGCAGTGAGCTGAGATCGCACCACTGCACTCCAGCCTGGGCAAGAGTGAGACTGTCTCTAAAACAAACAAACAAACAAACAAACAAACAAACAAACAAACAAACAGAGGATAGATACTGGGAAAGCTTCTCTGGAAGAACAATTCTTAAATGGGGAAAGGTAAAGAAAAGGTGAAGGCACTGGACGCAGTGACTCATGCCTTTAATTCCAAAACTTCGGGAAGGTGAAGTGGGAGGATTGCTTGAGGCCAGGAATTGGAGACCAGCCTGGGCAACAAAGGGAAACCCTGTCTCTACAAAAAATTTAAAAATTAGCCACACATGGTGGCATATGCCTGTGGTCCCAGTTACTTGGAAGGCTGAGGTGGGAGGATCACTTGAACCTGGGAGGTCGAGGCTACAGTGAGCCATGATCACATCACTGCACTCCAGCCTGGGTGATGGAGCAAGACCCCATCTCCATTTAAAAAAAAAAAAAAAAAAAAGGTGAGGTGGAAACTGAAGCCCTGGATAGGTGCTAAGCTGGTAAGAAAGCACACCAGTGCCTTAAATGGTTACCAGGCCTGAAGTTCACACAAACTGTACTCCAGAGGGGGAGACTTTGCAGACACAACTGCAAATGTGTGTGGAGCCAGAGGGCAGCTCTGGGCAAAATTATATATGCAGATCCTGTAATATTACAGGCACTGATCCTTCGCAAAATCCTAGAACAAACGATTGAATAGTACTGTAACTACTGAGGAAAGGAAGGAGTGACCACAAGGAACAGCATTATAATATAGAAGAACAGGTCATGCTGAACAAATCTGTTTCTTTTTATAGGGTTTTGGAAGGATACATCAAGAGCATGGTATACACCAGGTATTTTATTTCAATAGGCATCTGGCTGACATTTTCATAATATTCTTGTGAACAAACAGGGAGGAAACTTGAGCAATATGATAGTCTAGTTTGGGGCTAAACTGAGCATGCCTCCACCTAAGTGCTGAGAAGTCTGCTGCTGCAAGGTGTCTCGAACTGGGGTGGGTCTCAGGACCAGGGTTCACAGGCATCTCCACAGAGGCATTTTTATTCTTTTCTTATGTTTTCACTGTGATGATTTTTTTTTTTCTTTTTGAGACGGAGTCTCCCTCTGTTGCCCAGGCAGGAGTGCAATGGCGCCATCTCTGCTCACTGCAAGCTCCACCTCCCGGGTTCACGCCATTCTCCTGCCTCAGCCTCCCCAGTAGCTGGGATTACAGGTGCCCGCCACTATGCCCGGCTAATTTTTTGTATTTTTAGTAGAGACAGGGTTTTATCATGTTAGCCAGGATGGTCTTGATCTCCTGACCTCATGATCCACCCGCCTCGGCCTCCCAAAGTACTGGGATTACAGGCGTGAGCCACTGCGCCTGGCTGATCTTTTAGTATTTTTAGTAGAGACGGGGTTTTGCCTTGTTAACCAGGCTGCTCTCAAATTCCTGACCTCAAGTGATCCAGCCACCTCGGCCTCCCAAAGTGCTGGGATTACAGGCATGAGTCACCGTGACCAGCCACAACAAATATTTTTGTTTGTTTATATTTATGTAGAAACAAGGTCTTACTCTATCACCTTGGCTGGAGAGCAGTGGCATGATCTCAGCTCACTGAACCTCTGCCTCCTGGGCTCATGTGATCCTCCCACTTCAGCCCCTCAAGTAGCTGGGATCACTGGTGCATACCACCACACCCGGCTAATTTTTATATATTTTCTAGAGACGGGGTTTCACCATGTTGCCCAGTCTTTTCTCGAACTCCTGGACTCAAGCAATCCCACTGCTTCAGCCTCTGAAAGTCCTGGGATTACAGGCATGAACCGCCACGCCCAGCCCAATCATCTTTTTAAAAATGAACATATATCATAGATCACCAGATAACTGCTGCATAACCAAGTCCTGCACATTTCAGGGCCTGTGTGTGTGTTTACAAGTGCACTGTGTGGGCTAATTAGGACAACTTCATTCTGCACATTTAGTTCACAATACATCTGTGCAAAGTGAAAGATGACATAACTTCAGAAGCAGTGGGAAGACTGTGTCACCCTGATTGACACGCTATAGGATGCGTGTGCAGAACTCAAGGAGCCTAAGTGTCAAGTCTGTGCCGTGCTTACAAGGAAAAGCAATGATTTGGGTTCAAACATCACCCTCTCAGAATGATGCTGATAATGTGAATTTTACTGGCTTTTTTTGTAGTTACATATGTGAACTTTACAGGAGCTAGATCAGTGAGCTGACACACAGATTCATGTTCATACAAAATTAAGTTGTAATATTGTAATGAAAATAATCTAAGCCAACCCCAAACCATTTTTCCTTTAGAGTGGTGGTGTTCAAACTATCAGACCATGAACCACAGTTACAAAAACAATTTGCACTAAGACCCACCATATGCATACATACACCACACATTCCTGTCCCATGCTCACGCAATGAAAGTTTCCTGAAACAAAACTCCCTTATTACATGTGATGGACCGTGATATTTTTCTACTCTATTTCATTTTTTTAAATGCTGGCTGTGACCCACTAAATTGGTTTTGTGCCCTACAGGCTGGAAAACTTAGGCTGTAGAATGGTATTCACCACCTAAGTTTGGCAAAGATCTAGATGACAAGTAAAACTTGCAC